GTTGATTTAAACGCGATCATCACTCATCTATAAACGATGCAGTCGCAGATTTTACGAAGTAAAAAGAAGAAGCGGCTATCGAGTGCGATAAACATCTTTGAAAAGTACAACGTTTGGATCGAGACTCGATGCTTCATCTGATTTTTTTCAGCCCGAAAGTCATATGGTGCATTGATGAAAAAAAACGAAACAGGAGGAGCTGCCTTTGCAGTGTTACTGTCACTTCAAATAAATGTTGTTTTCAAACGTTATTTTCGTATTAGGTTGAATTACTTTCCCCCGTTAACATAGTTTCGGCTTCCAGTCATATAATCTCATAGTGTTCCCTTACAACGTGTCATATTATTCAGGTCAAGCTTCATCTATTCTCACATCAATATATTCACATGTAATTATTCACATGTTTGTTTATACTAGTGAGCTGTATGCCTGTGACAGCAGCTGCCTAGCAACAGTGGGCCTTACCTGGTTAAAAATGTGTTTACCTTTCTTATACTTTGCACTCCTATCGTGTTTTTGTGCTGTTTGTTGTTGTAACTTTCTGACCCCGTCCCCTGCTGAACATCGGTGAAAAAGAGCTTCATAGGAGCCCATCGGATTCCTCCAATATGACTAAAGATTCAGATAAAGATTCTGAACCGCACTCACCAGCGGAGTGAGGTCAAAGCAAAATAATACCCACGAATAGCAAAAGGTGTGGGAAGAAAGGCCCTCATCCAGCAGTGGATGGACCAAGGCTAATGATGATGATGATGAGTAGCAAAACAAGAAATGGAAAATTGATCACAAGCAGAGGAATACGCGGTCGAAGTGATGATTCAGACACGTAAAGCAACAACAGCAGCTGGGTAAATGATAGCGCAGCAATTCCCAAGCGTCGGGTCATAGGGAATTTTCGACAAGTGCGCTAACTCCCATCGGCTTATTCACCCAGTCTCTGGAAACTCACGGAGTAACAATCACGTATAAACAAGGGCCTAAAGTTAGCCGTTACTATCAGTGGGTTTATTTTAGCGCTTCTATCCACAGGCTACCGACTCCGATGACACCTGCCGCCGCCACCACCGCTGCGAAAGAAAAAGAGGAGGCAGACATTCTCAGAAGCCCCGGCTCGTGTCAAACACGATGCGGGCATTTTCAAAAGCCAGACAAGGAAAGTGTTCGTGGCTATTGTGAAACGGACGTATCGGCGGTGCACCGGTGCAGCGCAACACACCAGTCCTCATAAAACTGTCCGACGATGCCACTGTTGCCCCCGAGTGAGCTGCAGGACTCTCCATCTGAAGTTGCACGTAGCTTCAGCAGCTGCTTTCCCGCTCGAACGTGCGGTGACGCCACGAGTCGTAATCTTTGCTATGCCACCGTGCGCCAAGAAATCATTCGGGAAATTAATCGAGGAGCCGTCCGATCAAGTCTGAAGGGCACGAGGAGTCAAATCAGCCTCTGGAACACGGAGCCAGCCAATCGTCATCATGCTGGCTGCTGCTATACGGCAACAGACTGTGACACTTCGTGTTCGACCGCTCGTATAAACATTCGTCTTGCGACTGCTTCGACGTCACGAGAACCGATTTTGACGCACACCGCCGCAATATTTTTTTCTGACCGGGGTTGCGAATCGCAGGGGAAAAAAAAAAAATTGCGAAAATTTTTCCCGTTTTTCTTTATATACCGCGCACTACCGATGTAGCGCCAACACGTTCAAATTCCATGAATATCGTCGCGTCCGCCCACACACACGAACATTAATGTGCAGCAGTGGTCGGATGGGTGGTCAGCCCACTGCACTTATGAACCTGGACCGGAATGATTTGCGGATTTAGATCGGGATGTTATTTACTCATGAGCTCATGATTTAGTGTGTGAATTGAAGACCTTACATTTTTTTTTAATAGACCATGCTGAATAAGAAGCGGCAGGCACGGCTCAGCACGCCGCGCGATGAACCCAGCCCCAACAAGTTCGATTCCAGGCCAGGGTTCACATCGCATGACACTTGGGCTTCCCTTTCAATAACGTGCACACTGACCAGCATGGGAATATTTGGTAGAAATAACCCCAATAAGGACACACGGCATGGTGTGGGGGTGGGCTTCATATGGATTTAATAAGGGCTGTTATTATATATAGTTGTATGAACAATGCTGATGTAATGACCATTCATGATCTTGTACTCTACACAAATGAAACAAGACTCAATTTTCAGACCGGTAATTAGAAGAGGAGACAGGTTGTGTTTCCAGTGTTAGCGCATTACAAAATGTACGCTATTAATTCACGTTTGTGCAATGTAAATACAATTTAAAAAAACATGTTCCTAAATAACTCTAAAAACCAGCTTAAACAAAAAAAAACACTTGAGGAAAGCAACCAAAAAAGGGAGTTTCTATCTTGTAAAGAAATGTCTTGCAGCTGTCCAATGGCATCTGGTACTGATCCTGGCCGTGGGGTGTTGCGTGTGTTCCTCTTGTTTTCAGACACACGTTTGGGTGTAAGGGAGGCCATCAGAGCAGTTCTGGTTCAAGGGCCATCATTAGCAGCTGACTTCACAATATCTGAATTATGTTAGCACAAGTGGTTGCACTTAACAAACAACCTTTGTAGACATCTGCCAGCTCCCGTTAAGGGCAGCAGCGGTCCCTTGTATCGCGCCGCGAAAAACGCCCCCAATCTCACGTTTGTTGTTGCTCACAGCCCCGCGGAAAACTGCAAATCGCCGGGCGTCTGCAACGTTTAATTTTAGAGCGGGCCGTCATGCGTCGTGCGACGTGGCATAACGCGCGGGCCACCAAGCTGACGCCACCACCACCACCACCACCACGTCCGCGTTGATTCGGCCTCACACGTTGGCACGCGGAGCTCGACACCAGAACGTGGGCACTTAAACAAACGTAATTAAACCTTCCTTATCGCTCGCAGCGCCGGTCAGCCCAGCAAATGTGACAGCAGCTGCCTGGCAGCCAACCCTGAATGAGCACGCGCGCTTACTCAGAAGCAATTTCAGCTTCTTGCAGGAAGAGTGAGCTACCTGTTCCATTGACGACGCAAGCCAAACGCAAACCGTATTCTCCGGATTATAAGATGCGCTTTTCCCCAGCCTGCATTTTGAAGCAAAAGCTGGTGGTGCTTTCTTTTCATTTGGTAGGTGCGTGTTTGTGTGTGTAGCGGTAGTGTAGCAGTTAGCGCAGCTGCACTACGAACTCAGCAACCTGAGTTCGATTCTCGCTCTAGGCCAACACCAGTGACGATTGTCTGAACCAGTCCTGGGCCTCCCCTAGGTCGACTCGGCCTCAAATTAGTACCGAGTGCGGTGTGCAAACATCGCCACTAGGGAGACAAAGGCGGCTAGGTGTAGTGATGGCCACCCATCCCCTCGTGTGCCGTGCTGGGCTTCATAGGTGCTCGCTAACAGCACTGGCCGCAACAGTCTGTTAAGGCTACACGGGGAATCTTTGTCTGTGTATGTGACCAAATTTGTATAACTTTATTGAGACCGGGCATAAGTTTGGAGTGCATCTTATTTTAAAATGCGCACTATAATCCAGATATTATTGTGTGTCTTAGCATGCAGATGTGTAGTACTTAGGCTGTTGTGTCTTGGGCTGTCCGGAGTCTATGACGGAATACCTCGAGATTTTAAATTATCTGATGTGTCACAGCAAGTGCCAGGCAGAATATTGCTCACTCATGGACGATGCCCGCCCTCTCTTCTTGAGCCTGGAGAGTCGTTGGATGGGTAAGTACCATGCATGCCAGGCAGTCATAGGATGTGCTCTGTTGTTAGTACCAGAAGTCAGTGCAGCCAAATTCAATGTTGTATCGTACTGTACTGTTTTTCTATGCCCCAACTTCAATGCTCCCTACCTTTATCAGCCCGCACTGATCAGTGGTTATAGTACGGCTATAGTACGGCTATATAACCTCACAACCCGCACGGCCTGGGGAGGCCCTCATCCAGTAGCAGATGTACAAAAGAGCTGCACGCGTATTACGTGACGGCCGAGCATCCATGGAGGAAAACAAGACTCTAAAGTTGCAGTCAGACGTGCAAACGCAGCACAGCAGTTACGTCCTCGGGATTTCACTGATACATCTGAACGCGATGTCAACACAACGACCCACCTACCCCTGACTTCCCCTTAAAACATTCAATCCCCCACCCCCCCCCCACTTCCCCACAATCCCATCATGTGCACGCATTGTTTTTCGCACAGCACTTGAGAATCATTCATAAACTCATCGCAGCCTTATGTCCCACAGGGGATGAAGGAGGATAAACTAACTTGAGGTGGGGGGGGGGACAGCATTCTCTCACCCGCTCTACCACCTAGGGCAAGAGTCGGCAAACCTGAGACTTTGGAGCCGCATGCGGTGGCTCTTTAAGGAACCGCTCCAAGACCGTTGTCTATTTCGGGACCGCCAGCGTCTCGTATTCACCGCGCACAATGTGGCTCATGAAACATTGAGTTGTTTTTTATTTCTTTGTTACCGATAAAAACACAAATATGCCTCTTCTCGTTATTTTGGTTATGGACCGCCCTGGTCTGGGGCGATGCGCGCGGCGAAGCCACGAATACGTGTCTGCACCTACTGGGCGGCGTTGCGCAATGCTGCCGATATTTTTGTTAAAAGTGGTTTAATATTGGCGGCGGTTTCGAGCGGGCGCGGCGCTGGTATTTACCACGCGCTCCTGCGCGGTTCTAAACTATAACTAAACAAAAAAATAGTTTTTGCCAGGTAAGGTACACTGAGCTATATAGACCTTTTTCAGAAGCGACCCGGATAACACAAATGATTGCTCAACTCTGAAGGCATGTTCCTAAATGTGGAGGGGAAAAACCGGAGGACCCGGAGAAAAATCCACGCGACCACCGGGACAGCGAGAGAGACACGCAAACTCCAAATATACAGCAGCAGGCGTCAGGGTCGGGATGGAACCGACAACCTCCTGCATACCAAGCGAGGTAGTTAACATCTCCTGGCCACCGTGGCACCTCTACCTGCTTGGTGCCGCCGCCCTTGGTGCCACTCTTGGTGCTGGCACCTTTGCTAGGCGGCTCGCCTGGCTCGGGAGGCCTTTCGCCTCCCTTCCCCCGTTTCTTGCTCTTCTTCGGCTTCGGTTCCGCATCCTCCTTCGCGTGCTCCTCCTGCTCCTCTTCCGAGGCGTCTGTAGGACGAGACCAGGCACGGCGACAATTGAAATAAATCATGGGCCCGCGTTTATAGGCACATCAAAGCAACTGACACGCTCTCGGGGGTCTCTGGAGTACGGAGGGGGAGGTAATTTATTTCTAAAGGCAGTGCCAAACACATGAGTGTTCATGCTAACAAACCTGAACCAGCTCCGCTGAGACCCTGGGTTCATATTTGAGCTCCTGCCACGCGTGATTAGACGGCGTTGTCAAGTGGAGTGAGTCGATGGTCTGAACTCGGGGCACCCATGAGTGCACAAACTCCGTTCTCTTCAATTTGGTTTTAGACGAAATTTTTTGCGAACAAAAAAAAAACTCTGATGGAAAAGTATTGGTGTGACTGCCACTCGACAGAGGTCTCTTTAGCCGGGCGTGCAGGAGAGCGTGTGGGTGGATAAGAGAGGTCGCTAAGTAGTTTTGTGATGTCTCCTTCTACGGGCTGTTCTCTAGCACACGGGATGATGCGCTGCGCTGTGAGGGCTCTGATTGGACGCTTCGTCGAATGCCATGACGCCAACAGTACCATTGGAATGACAACGGGGGGGGGAAGAATGAAAAATAAATAAACACATTTAGTGACAAACAATAAATGCATTTACTTAGACCAACTGAAGTTCAACCTAACATCTGGTTACTTTGTTTTTTTAAACACATGCCTGTATGGAGTTTATTACAGACGCCAAAGTAGGGATGGTCACACAATTCAGGAACAGGCACCAGATAAAAAAAAAACAAAGCTGATAATTATTCTCGTGAAAGTATTATACAACTAAAGACGAGCGAGTACCACACGCTGACATGAGCCAGACATGGTGAGATACATGTTTGTGAAGGCAGTGCCCTAAAAGCAAGAAGGGTGGACATCCAGAAGGTGGCAGTAAAGAAAGTAGATTTGTAAACTAATCCGTGCAGACCTCCAATTGTAATCTCGTTAAATACATTCCGAGGCCACTCTGGGTGCTCCAAACCACCCCAACCTTTTTCCTGCACAGCAAAAAACAAAATCGGCCAACCATTCCAACGCAGAATCTTCGAGCGATAGTTTTCAATCATCAGCTGGGCGGCGGTGGCTTTACCCGCACAAACAGAGTCCGTTGCAAAACAAAGGGCAAACCGAATTATCACGGGGCAACGCGGCGCGCAGAGCACACGATATATACATTCACAGACTACTTCTATTCTAGCCATTCTCTAGCCGCCAAATTAAAAAGGGCTGCAACACGCCGTTCCGGTTGGCGAAGGGGCGGGAGCCATAAGCGGTTCCGATATCGCTTGCCACTGATGTCAGCTGTCCAGGGTGCAGAGAGAGGGAGGGAGGAGGGGTGGGGGGTTTGCTGCGGGGCTCACGCAAAAGAGGGCCTCACAAACGACGGGCCTGTTTTTTTCTTTGTCGCTAATCAACGAGGGGGTTACAGGTTGCATTCTCTCCCTGGACCTCCGGGAACCTACGGCCGGCCCTGTTAGCCGTTGCCGGGAATCGAATCTGGGTCGTCGAGTTCACGGCGCAGCGCGCTAACCACTCTGCCACCGCTCCATTCAATGCCCCCACTTTGTCGAGAAGACGCAGCAGCGCTGCAAATCCATAAATTCACCAGAAGGCCGGGCTCGTCACGCGCACCTCATCAACACTTAGCTGTTCCATTAGCGAAATGCAGGGTCGCGGTTCGGCGCTCGCTTACAAACCTGAGCGTGCATTTAAACGTGGACGCGATTAGACAATTCGCTTCGAGGGGATAAACTTTCAATGGCACCGATGCTTAACCCGTACGGCGGACGTGCTAGGATCATCCTCGTTCATCGGACGGCGCCTCTCGTGTCAGCGGCGATAACCGCTCCCGCAGGTCACCACGCTCGCAGCGGCAAGCGAGCGACACTCCGTTTATTTGCCTGACACCAGAACAGTTACTCCGGAGAAAAAAGTTTTTTTTTAAGCTTCGTACTTTGCCACGGGCAACATCTGTGGCAACGCGAGCAGCGCAGAGGCCAAAGAGTCAGACCACGAACACAGAATGCGACTCGGTGCCCGTTTTGGCACAAAGCGATTGGGATAAGAGCCCTGCCAGAGATCCCCCCCGGGAGATGGGAACTATTGCCATATTTATCCACCGCTCACACGGCATTGTGGGTAAGGAGGGCTGGTGTGTTGTGATGGGATGGGGGCCCTTGGGGACCGACGCCTGTGCCAGAAAGAGGAGGGGGGGGGGGGTGGAGAGGGCGAACCCAACACCTGTTGGGTCGTGAGTTCTGGGCCGGCTAGGCAAACCGTACACAACGGGTTACCCGAACGTCTGTTTGACTGCATCTCTTTAAACGGCCGACAGGACGACTTCATGAACGCGCTCGAGTTCCGTGGTGCGCACACAACAGGGAACAGCCGACGTAACGAGAAGCCATTTGAGCATGTAATTCATCAAACGCGCTACCGACGGAAGCCACCGTGCGTGTGCACACCCCCCCCCCCCCGGCCAGAACCAACGCGAGGCACGCAGCACAAGTGTCCTATTCACAAACAAGAAAATGACGGCTCTTGTGCGCGACGCACAACAAGATGTCATCCGCCGTGCAGGGCCTTCGGAGCACAGAGATGTTATTCTTCGCCGGGATCGAGACTCAAGTTGCCGCGTCCAAAGTGGCCGAGCACGGCGGCGGATCGCAACGTCGAGCGGCGGTGCCCGCGCATTCCTTAATCGTTTTCCCAGCAGACCGCTCGGCTCGACGAACACCCCGGCGACCTCCAAAAATCCGTCCTCCTCCAAAACCCCTTTTCTCTCGAGCCAGACGCGTAGCGGCACGAGCCGGCTATATATAGCAAGCTTTGCTCACTGCCTGCCACTCGCCGAAGGGTCCGCACGTGTACGCGGGCGGGCGGGCAAAACGGGAGGGCGAGGGAGCGAGCGAGGGAGCGAGCGTACTGGAGGCTGCGTCTTCGCGCGCGCGCCCCAGTCCACCGAGCGCTCGTATTTAAATTCCGTCTGCGGGACGGAGGCTGCCAAGGCTCTGACATACTCCCGTCGCTGCCGCGCTGAATCCACAATCGCTCTCCGCGTCTCTCTCCGTCCGTGCTGAGGCCAGCGAAAAAAGAAAAAGCTCACACAAGCGTCGAGACGCCTCCTGCGAGCCAAACGGCTTTCGTTCCGTCCAGGGGACGGCCCTCTCCTCCGATTAGTCCACCAGGCAGCGACGGGCGGTGGATAGACAGGGGAGTCTTGAAGCGGAAGAAGAAAAAAAGCCGGACTCGCTGTCTTGCCGTTAATTTGCACCGAAGCAAAGCGTAAACATTTGGCCCTCCCGATAAACATTTAACGTCTCCTGGCGCCGAACCAAAATGTGTTTTTGATCTACTTCAGCTGCAGAGCTTCTCACTTGATTCCTGGCTCCCGAGGCGACAAGGAGTACAAGCGGCAGGGACAGGAGCGAGAGCACGGGAGACGTCATTTGTACGATTGCTTTTTTTTTTACAAGCGGTCTTTTGCCCCTTAGAGGGAGTTTGGCAATAACGCAATTGTCAGAACTGTGTCTCGAAACAAGGACGTCTTCTCCCGCCAAGGCCAAGAATAAACAACAACAAAAAAAACGCTTCTCCAAAAACAAGCCTCAAAGGACAAGCGTGGCGGACACCGGGGCGGATCAATGTCGCGGACTTAAATGTCCGGCAGAGCCGAGCACCGCGAGCAGACGCGCGTGGAGGCAGCGTGAACTCACAGGTGAGTGGCCGGTGGGGCGAGCGCGGTGTCTTCATGCCGGCGCGGCTCGGGGCGACGAGGCGCCGACCAAGGCCGCCGGCGGTCGCCGCTGTGGCGGCCGTGAGCGGTGAGACTCGGGCCAATCCGATGAGCCTGCCTGCCCCGCTTGAAGGTCAAACTACGCTCGGCATTTGCACTTCGGCGCAACTGCGCAACGACGCTACGCTTCCACTTTGCGTGCATCCCAGCACGCGTTTATTTTTAGTTTCCGCGCGCATCTTAAACGGTGCGTAGCTCTGGCTGAGGGAATTTGGTCGACCGTGATGAAAGCGTTCAGGAAACTTCTGATAACGGCTACGTTCTACTGAATGCACAACAGCGTGACAACGGAGTACGACGCCGGCAGAGGGCAGTGCAGCAGAATCGATTGTTGTACTGTACCATGCTGTTACGTCTATGCTCCCCGCCTTCACCGGCCCGCAATGGGGAGCGTGGTGCAGGAGGCCAAAATAACCCCCACAATCCGCATGGTGTCAGGAGGGCCGTCTTTCAGCAGTCGTTGGACAAAAGGGCTTTAACTCGTGCATGTAAATTATAACGAAAACAAGAACGACAACAAGAACGACAACAACAACACTTATTGGGGATTTGTGGGTTCACGGATTGCCAATATTCCACTCGCACGGGAACGCGTGCGATTTGAAATATTTGGGGAATGCCCCGGCGAGTCATTCACCACCCGGCAACAACTCCGGCCCCTATTTTGGGTCGGTTGTGGCAACCCGATACTGGGCACGAACACACGGCCGACGTTAAATCTGCGAGTAGCAGGCGGTTACGTGCCAGGCTCTGTAGCACCGCCCCCTCTCACCCCCTTGTGAGGGTAATAACACCTGAAGGAGAGACGGGCTGGTTGGTGGTGGTGGTGGTGAGAGTGGCAGGCAGGAGCAGCAGCAGCAGCAGGGATGAAGTGGAGAGAACGAGAAGCCTCGACCATTGTATCTGAGCAGCCGAACGACATTAATTACGGCAACTGACGGCGTGAGTTTTGTACACAAAAGGGAGGCTCGCTTTAAGGGCCTTGTAAATACCGGCCACCGTGTGTCAATATTGGCCGAGCTCAATATTGGCCGCTTTCAATCTCGTCGAAGGCTTTGCGTGCCCAAACGTTCTCAGACCTCTTCGGTCGTTTCCTTCCTTTGCACTCAAGGTCATTAAAATAAAAGCCCCGGGGGGGATATTTGTTGTTGTTGTTGTTTGTTGTTTTGATTGCGAGCACGCGATAAAGACGTGGAGAGTGACCGGGCTTTTGACGGCCGCCGCTTTTATCCCAACCCGTGTGCTTAGAGGGTCTCGCTCAAATGAAAATGTTTGCTTTGAAAAAGAGAGACAACTCCAACAAAAACGAAAGAAAGCTCCCACTTTATAGTTCAAATTCCTCAGGGTGCGTCAACACACGTGACTGTGCTCGCTGGGAGTAAGGGGCACGGGGCGCTGATGCTCACCGAGAACGAGTACACGCAACTGGGCCAAGCACGTGGGCCAACTCTGAACTTTCTGCTTAAATCACGACTGAATCATCCTCTCCATCGTCCTTCCTCATTGTAAATACAGTAAACACATGACGAATTGCAGTGGTCTACGAAACGTAATGGGCACGTTTGCCAAGTGTGTATTGGTCAGCAGGATGGACTTGCAGTTCATCAGTTGTCCGCTTCAGTTAAATCTCCCGGCGCGGCAGTTGATGCGATGGTCAAGGGGTACAACTTGCGAGTCGATCGGCACGTCGCATGTGCTGGGGTGAAGTGTGGACATTCTCCGCTACTCCAAGACGTCTGGCCCGGACCGAGTAGGCCAACAACAGCTCGACGTGCTGTCTAGAGCGACCTCGAGGCCCTTTCGCCACCAGTGGCGTGAGCGGCACCTTACAGACCGCCACAGCTTTTACGATATTTCGATTGCGGCGAACCACGACATGCGCGCTTGTTAAATGTCCGCGCGGGAAGCGCGGCACTTGGGAGTGCGGGCGCGCGCACGTGAACTTTCGTCAGCAAGCATCTTCGCAGGGAACGATGGCCGTGGGTTTAACGAGTGTTCGAGGTGGAGAGGGGGTCGTGGAAGGCGGGGGGGGGGGGTGGTACGGGGCGGGGGGGGGGGTTCGAGGGGTGGGGGGTCGAGGTTTATGCGGAGAGACGCACCCCCTGGGGTGGCTGTCCACGCTGCCAACGATAGCGAGCGCTTGACATTCTCGGCTTAATTGCAGAGCGATCAGCCCTGCGTGGCGGGGAGATTTCAGAGCCGCCGATGCTCAGGGTGAAATTCCAGCCGGCGACACCAAAATCACCCCGGGCCCTGGCGAAGCGAGCGGCACAGCGACACCCTCTCTGGTGCGGCGGCGTGACGATGAGTCCGGGCCAAAGTAACATCTGGGCAATCCGTCGCGCGAATGTAGCTATCGCCAGCGTGGCACGCTTTTTAAGTTCGCAAACAACGGAGGCCATCGCTTTTTTTTTCGCCCCTGGCACGATCCCCGCTCGCGAGGGGGTCTGCCTGCTCTGCTCCTCTCTCTCTCTCTCTGCTCATTCCTGCCCTTGGCCATCTTCACATCTACTTCATATGCCTTTACTTCCCGCATGGTTCATCGCTTAGAACCACTTATCGCTCTCTCTCTCTCTCTCTGTCGGCCTGCCTCTCTAAATCCGCCCTGGTGCTTCCACGTTCATCATCATACGGCCGCCGCAGAAAGCCTTCTCAAGTGTTCTCCACCAACTACCGCGGGCATCGTCAGGCATTGAAGGGAAGATGCCCAAACACACGGCCCAATTCGGAAGATCGCACTCGGATTACGAGTGCCTACGATAACCTGTGCGCTACATTCAGACGCGTACGTCGAACCTGGCCTCATCACCGTCTTGTTATCACCATCACTGATGGCTCAGCCATGAGGCTTCGTGGCTGTGGGTTTCGCAGGCATCCTTTGCCTGGAATACGTATGTTGAACTTCTTTCGCACCGTACATAGCTAACAGTGACAATCAAGAGGTGTGGGGGAAGGACAACAAACGAAACGCAAGAAGCAGTTGTATAGAAATGAGTTTTCAATATAGATGCAAAAGTGCATAGCCCCAGTGGCTTCCTAATATCAGAAGGAAGAGCGTTCCAGACGGCCACAGAAGCGCATCTGAAAGCGCCGCGCGATAGCTCAGCCGCCACGAGGGTGACCGCGGTTCGCGCGACGACGGTTTACGTTCACCTGACGAGACCAGGCGAGGTGACGCGGTTCGTTTGGCGGCAAGCACTTTGGGTGCAACGAGCACGGCCTCATAAACATCTCCCCCTCGGCGCACGCGACGAAGAACACTCGCACGTCACTGGCACCGTTCCTTTCCCCTTGCGTAACTTTCCTTGGTTTGCCCTTAAGCGTTGGGCTACTTGGGCACGTAGGTCGATGGGCACTAAGGGCGCCCGGTAGCTGCGCGCAACCCTGCCAAGCGACCCATTATAATTTCGCACTGCCCAGAGCTGCGCCCGTCGGGAAGCCAATGCGGTGTACCGTTACCGCGAGGCATTTGCCCGTGTGTGTGTCTGCTAAATGGCAGTGCTTGTTCAGCAACATAAACTATCAATACGGTGGGAAAAGGCAGAGGTGCAGCCCTGTATCCACTGTAAGAAGTGGGAGTAGCCACAGTTTATCCCACCGCGCAAGGCCTCCCCCGATCGACCAACTGCGGGCTCGCCCATTCACACAGCTGGGTGGACAGAAGCGGGGGAATTGACGAAGCTTGCCCCGTTGTTTTAGTAGCCGTGCACGGATTGTGGAAAGATGGAATCGGCGACCTTTGGATTTCAAGCCCAGTGAGCCAACCGTTGCATCGTGGAAGCAGCGTTCCTCTCATTAATGTTAATGTCATTAATTATTATTACGTTTATAATTCCATGCATTTGACATATAATGCTTATGACTCTGTGACCTTTTGAAAGCTAACGATTATGCAGATTTACGAGAACTTGGCCCCAGGTCTTAAGGGCACACAAATTCCAGAAACATCACAGTACAGGAAAATTGTGGAAATATGGTCATCATGTGCCAGGGTCTATATAATACTGGATGAAGCCTCCACATGCCCTCACCATTGCTCACAGCTGAGTGTCTACGACTATCCATCTAACTCCTGCGAACGGAGCGATCTCATTGGCTCCCCTTGTCCTCTCCTTTGACTGCCGTTCCATCACCAGTCTCGTCCATTAACCATCGTTCCGTCTGGTCACGTGTCCTGCCCAATCCCATTAACCTTTCGTAACTGTTATAATACGGTGTCTCAAATTAAGCTTGTGCCATCATCCCCACGTCTCTTAAGCTTCTGTTCCACTTTCTTCGTCAGCGTGCGTGTTTCTGACCCACGTCATCGCTGATAAAATACACCGATCAAAAACCTTGATTCTTCAGGCAATGACGTTCTCGTTTTCATCGTCATGGTCAATTTCGCAGAGGCAACTCATCCGGCTCTTGTTTTCTGTCCACGTGACGAGCCACTTTCCTTGAGCTGTCATCCGTGACCGCCGGGTTGCTTCTGAAAAACAAGCTAATAGCTCAGTGGCCTTTACCTGGTATGATACAACAAATTCTTCAGATTTATTTGTATATTTTTAAAAAGGTGATTTGCTTATTTTTGCTACACTTTGCACTCCTGTCGTGTTTGTCTACTGTTTGTTGTTGGAACGTTCCGAGCTGCCCTCACTGGACATCTATGAAAAATAGCTTTACAGCTCATCGGATTCCTCCGGTATAAATTAATATCCTGATTGTCTTTCATTGCGTAGCTTCGATCCCCATCTGCCTTCGATAGCCGCGCTCCGACCACACCACGTCGCGTGTCGTGCTGTGTTCTCTAGGAAAGTGTCAAATGTGCGCGGCGTTAAAATCGACGACCTGCCGTGGCAGACCGGGGCCCCGGGCCCTCCCGTTTTCCGCGCCCCCCCCCCCCACACACAACCCCCAGCGAGTAAAGCTCGCTGGGGGTTGTGGCGGCGACGCCGCTGGGCACACGTCGATGGGCACGAGTGCGCCGAGTAAACTAAAACCGGGCAAGATATTCGGCGGCGCGCTATTGGGAGAAAATCGACGGCTCGGCAAACGTCTCGCAGACGAGCGTACAGTGTGCGGTTGTGGCAACAACAACAACAAAAAGATAATGCAACATCCGTCCACTAATTCATTCCTCAAAGAAGAGAAAGCTGACGTCGATATCCGCTTGCTTTGAGAGGGGGAGGAGGGGGAGGTAGCGCAAGGCTGGATTTCACGCACAGCGTAAAATATTGATCGCTTTACATTTTGCACTCCGCTGAAAACGGGACGATGGCCATGCCTAAATGCGATTGTCATTCCTTCCTACTGCGGCTTAGACTTTTGATTACCAGCGAGACGACTGCCGAGTAAAAAAAGGAAGTTTCCTTCATTGAGCAGGGCACGCTTAATTTCAAGTCGAAGTCAACGCGATTTCGTGCTCAAATTGAGCACTTGGGTGTTTTGCTCATCACCCGTTTGCAGCCCTGATCCACTGGTGGAAATTGCCGCATTCCTATGGAAGGCGTGAGGTCTATCTATGGAACCGCCTCAACGTCGTATTATACATCCCAACAAAGTGGCACTCGTTTTCTAGGCCCCAGGAATTCGAACTCGCAAGCTTCCGATCTGCCTGCCGCTTGCCTGGTAGAAAAAGAACAGCTACCAGCGACTTGGCGGGGGACCAACTCACACAGCCTGGCCTTTCAAACATTGCTCCTGTCCAAATGAATAC